TTTTTAGAGACTTTCTACTCGTAAACGCATCTTTGCATATGCATCACAGTTATAGCTTTCAAAATCATTCATTACATCAAAAAAAAAACGGCAAGTAAGCAAAATGGTTTCAAAGGACCCATTTTACTCGACAACAAAAATACATTACATTATTACTGAGATATCGATCAAAATGGCAATTGTTTAAACCCGAGAGCCTCTGAAGTCACGGTTGTTTTGTCCTGAAAATGGAAAATTAGTCAACTATACAAGAAAATCAAACTAATGCGTACCGTTAAAGCCTCCTGGACCACCGAAGCCATTATTTTGTCCAAATTCTTGTCCAAATCCGGGTCCTTGAAATTCATCATCAGGACCTCCGAATGGTGGTGGCGGTGGTGGGGGTCCTCCTGGTCCTCCTGGTCCTCCTGGTCCACCTGGTCCTCCTGGTCCTCCTGGTCCTCCTCGGGGACCGCCTCGGGGACCACCTCGGGGACCACCTCGGGGTTTCATGAAGATGTCAGCTGCGAATTTGGCAAGGCGGAAGAGCTAAGAGGGTATTCTTCTGAAGATTGAATCTGCTTGTGAATTTGAATAAAACTCACATTTGGGTTCTCTTCGGTGAGCTTTCTGAGATTCTCGAAAACTTCTCTGGGGGTCTGATCTTCGTTATCCATGATATCGGAAACTCTTTGCACAGCTTGAGGAAGTTTGGAGACGAGTTCGGTAACGTTTTTCTTGATTTCTTCTTTGAATCTAGTCATGTTAGCGTCGAACTCTTTAACTTCATCCTTGAAAAAAATTATTTTCGTCAATATTTCCGCTTTGGGAAGAAATGACTTACCGCGATTCCATATTTCTCAGCCCATGTGTTGATTTCCTGCTTTTGCTGGGTAATGGTCTTGTTCATGTCTCTCAAGATTGCGAAGTATTCATTTCTGGCCACTTCGTTTACATCCTTAAGGAACGGTGGTGGTGGGGGACCATGTGGGCGACGGCCCGGTCTTCCCCCGGGACCACCACTTCCCCATCTGCCTCCGGGACCTCGTGCTCC